ATAAGGGGATTTAAATACCCCCCCCCCGGTGCTTTCACTCATTAATGGGGAGTAAGGCACGCACATACTCTTCTGGGCTGCAACTTGAGGTTCTGCTGTTTTATGCCCTCATTTCTCCGTGGGCAACTCAGTGCGCTAAGCGTCCCAAGCAGTGATAATTGGCGGGCACCGCCATGCAGTACAGATCCGCTGCATTGTGCATGGCCACGGCAGCAGCCGGGCACTGCCACTTTCACCCTCTGTCCTCCAAGCATGCGCCCTGGTGCCAGTCTGGCCTGCACTGTGAGGGGCCCCGAGGGGCAAGCCTCAACAGCTGCTTCTCTGCATCAGAAGGCAGCTGGAATGCCCCCCCCCCCCACTGCAGCGCATGCGTCAATCCTTTGCTCTCACCGACCATTTTGGGGCTAGTTTTTGTAAACAAGCAGCACTATCATCGTCAGGAAGCCGGCCCACCTGAGAGGTGTCAGCAGTAAAAAAGGCACCTTTTAGACTCACAAAGTTATGGTACCATAAGCTTCTAGAGACTGCAGCCCAGTTCAGCAGATGCATTAAATGCTACCCTGAATTATAGATAGGTGTGAGTTTGCAGCATATGTACAGACACAAACACCTTTTGTGGGATGGAGGAGTGAGGGAATTATAAAAAGTGAGGTCACAGGGAAATGAACAGCAGGAAGGTGTACAGTGGATAATCGATAAATTGTTTACATTCCTCTGCCCTTAGTTATTTAGCTTAGTTATTTCGTTTCAGAGGAGGAAATGGCAAATTGTACAAGTGAGAGATCTGGCCTAAAGAGTGAAAGAAAATTGAAAGGGTGGCAGCTGCTATAATCTCATATTCTGGCAGAACTACAGAACATGGCTGGGCAAGAAAGGGGGAAAGTGACAGCGGTGAATTCTCTCAATGTCTAGGACTGCAGAAAGGACACCACCTGGAGTGGCACATAAAAGAATGAGAGGAACTTGGAACAAGTATCATTCACTTTAAAGAGATCCACAATCACCGCCTGTCGGGGTCTTTGGGTCGCCAGCACACTGCATTTCACAGTTGTGAGTTTAAGTGGAGCACTTGGAGGCAGGCAGGAATTATTTACTGCTCTGTGCTCCTTTTGTTCTCAGGCCAAAGGAGTCATGATTTGTAGTTAGTCTGAATACTTAGTTGCGCTGTGGAAAGGTGGAAAGGGACAGGAAAGGGACAGAAGGGAGATATTTTAAACAATTATATACACAAGGGCCTCAGAAAGAATTTGAAATAGAGCAATTTCTGAAAACCAATGGATTACAAAAAATTTCTCAGGATAACAAGATATTGTTGAATTATAAAATTTACAGAATAGGAGTTGAGTGCCATTCAGAATATTACAGTTAGGAAGTCTCCAGGACCGGATCAGTTTTAACCTCAAAATATTACAGAACTTTGAAAGACTGACTAATTGACCATTAACTGAGGTTTTGTATTGGAATTTTAGAGGAAAGAGCGCAGAGTTCGTGGAAGGGCCTTATTTATTACATATCACCAAGGCTGAGACTGAAAAGACACAAACAGAACTACTGACCCATATCCCTGTTAAATGTGGATTACAATTTTATGACATTTGGCAAAAGGCTTAAAAAGTGCTAAAAAGGTGATTCATAAGGACCAGGCTGGCTTTCTTCAGATAGACATCTTTCGAATAACACAAAGGGCATAATTGATATTCTGGAGAAGCTGCAAGAGGAGATCAACACTAAAGCAGTTTGATTTTTGTGGATGCAGAAAGCCTTTGACAATATTTCTTGGCAGAGTTTTATGAAGAAAATCTTCCAGAGTTAGGTAGGGCCAGAGTTTGAAAATGGTATAAGTACAAATTATTCCAGAACAAAAGCTAAATTGTGGTTAATAATGTGATAGGTAAATTAAGATAGAGAAAGGACCGACGTTTGCCAATTTTGTTGCCACTATTTCTCGTATAGGTTTTGTTAAATATGACTAAGAGGACCATCTGATTAAAGGGCATAGCGGTCGGGTAAGTAATATAAACTGAAAGCGTTTTGCAGATGACCTTGTACCCCCAGCATTACAGGAGCCAGAATCTAGTAGAAAACGTGAGGAACTAATTCAAGGATTTGGTCAGGTGGCAGGTTTTAAGCTGAATAAGTTTCAAACTAAAATTACTTGAAGGTTGCTGATTAGAAAAGAGAGGGTTTCAGAATGAGACAGGTTTAACAGTGTAAAAAGTGATGACCCGGGGATTCATATGACATTTAAAAGTAAGGAATTTATTTAAGAAGACAGTGCAAAGTGTTGGTCGGACATTAAAAAGGATTTGAAATATGGACAAACTTAGAGCTTTCCTTGTTCGTTAGATTGCTGTCATCAGATGGATAACAATACCAAGAAGTCTTTGTTTTGTTCCAAGTCCCGATGCAAATAATAGACAAAGATGGACTGTTTTAGAGAGTGGCAGAGAGATATTTCTAAGTTTGTCTGGCAGAGGGCCAAGAGGGCCCAGGATAAAATTTAAAATATTGACTGATGCTTGCTAAAGAAAGAGAAGTTGCCCTGCAGACTTTCGCTTTGTTATAGATCAGCAGCTTTCTGCTGGTTGAAGGGTTGATTGCTTCTAGAAATACTGATGTTTTGGACTTAGAAGGTTTTCAATAATGTGTTTGGGTAGCATACATACTTGTGGTGTAGCAAAGTTAAAAATCCAAAATGTTTAAAACCATGTTGTCAGGAAAGCATTATTCAATGTCTGGATAGATCTCAGACATTGGAGGAATAAAACCTGAGGTGGCTATCACAGTAGGCCAAAGGCCTAAAAAGAAGTCCAATATGGAGGCCAAGTGGCCAAAATATTGGGAGATCTTGGAACAAGAAGGATAAATTCAAATTGCAGAGTTTGAAAATTAAAAGGTAGAGTGCGAGACTGGTTGCATTACTGCAAATAAGAGGTCTATAATTTTGGATGAAAAATTGGCTTCAGGTGGAAAAAGTCAAGTTGGAGCAGAACTGCTAGATCCCAAAACTAAAAACACTTTCAAAGTATATAACTTACTTACTAAAATGGAATACTCAGGATGAAGCAGTCAAATCTGCATGATTAAGTAGGCACAGGATGCTTGGACACAACATTATGTTTGCCTTTATTTGAACAGTTATGGACCTGAGTCTGAGATTTTACAGCATATAATGCTTTAAAAGAATATAATGAAATGGTGTCACAGGTGGTACAGCCCCAGTCAACTTTGCAAAAATCTACCATTTATGATAATAAATGTTGGAAATGTAAAAAAGAAACTGAGGTACATTCTTTCACCTTTGGTGGGTACCCAAAGATTGGGCCTTCTGCAGGAAAAGGATATATATTAGTTGAAAAAAGGTATTTAAGTATACCTTTCTAAAGAACCAGTGTATCATAGGCATTGTTGTAATTAGTGCTAAAGAAAAGATGAACTTTCTTTATGTATGCAGCAGCAGCAAGGATACTAATGCAAAAATGTTAGAGAACCTAGATTTGCCTCTGGAAAGAATGGCAGATGAAGGTGTCCAGTATATGGAACAGCGGAGATATTTGGCAGAATCCGTGACCAGGAGGAAGAATTCGATTGGAAGGGTGGAAGAAATTTAGGAACTATTTACAGAAATGCTATAAAATTTCGTAGATGTTAATTAAGAGTCTGATTAGAAAATAACTGGTATTGCTTAAAGCCTTGTGAATAAGTATGGAGATATTTGATTGATAAGGTTGTAAAAATATTTATATATAAATAGATTAAGTTCTTGAGTTAAGATAAAGAAAAGGAGAGGTAAGGATTTGCTGAAAGGAGTTCTTAAATGGAAATACAAAAGCGGGAGATGTTGAGAAGTCAAGGGCTTAGGAAAGATAAGAAGGTTAAGTAGAAAGTATAATATTTTTAAGATTTTTCTGTTTCTTTCTTTTTCTTTCTCTTTCCTTATTATGGATATTGTTATCTTTGTTTTGATCTTTGTCATTGTGCCTTATTTTTAGTCTGTCGAATTTTTGTATTTTTGCATCTTTTGGAATTTTTCTTTGCAAAACCAATAAATATTATAGTAAAACCGAAAAAAAAAAAAAAAAAGGAAAGGGACAGAAGGTGCCCCTACCTCCTGCCTACCTGCGTGGCATCCTGCAGGCCTTTAAAGTGGTGCTAATATATCCAAACCACAGAGGGATATTCAGGCTGCCCCATCCCCCAGCCACAGGGCTGCCATGGCACAAAGTTGTGGTATTGCTCTAGCAGAACCTGGTCTTTCCTTTAACATACTATAATATCCTCACAAGGGCATCTTCCTGCCCCCTTACATGGGCATGTATATAGGGAAAGACTAAGAGTTCTTTTGGTGGTGGTGATTTATGGCAGAACTGGGCACTATACTGAAGGCATGACTGCCTGCCACAAACAGCAAACCCTTCTGCGACATCCTTTGTCCTTCCACTCTGAATTGCTGGCTGGTGGTGGTGGGAGAAGGAAAAGCAGTGCAGTGTGATCTCACAGCCTAAGTCTAAGAGATGCCTGGTAGACATTACAGGGGCGGGGGGGGGGGCTAGATGTGTGGTTGCTGCATGTTCAGGCTGTCACCACCTGTGAGACATATTTTGTAATCCACAAGTTCATTCTGGAGTGGATCATTTATAGCCAGTTTTGAATTTAACATTGGAGCCAGGTAATCACGTGAATGTGGCAAAAACTCCAAGGTCTCACCTCTGGGTGAAACTAGTTCTATTCTTATCAGTCTACCTTAATGTCTAGTTATGGTACAGAAATTGCCACAGTCATCCTGATGGGCAGGAGGGGAAAAACAGCTTGGTTCTCCTGGCTATCTCAGAGGACTGAGCTGAGATGCACAAGGCTAAGATGATTCTGTGATCACTAATCACTGCTGCTCTTAACATCAGAAACTGCCTTATACTGAGTCATGCCATTGGTCTATATAGCTCAGGATTGCCTACAGTGGTTCCCGAGGGTTCCAGACGGTGGATATCCCCAGCCCTACCTGGCAATGCCAACAATTGAACCTGGGACCTTTTGAATGCAAAGCAGAGATACTCTACCACTAAGCTATAGCTGTTCCCCTGCCACTAAGCTCATTGTGCCCATTTTACATAATTTAATCTCTAATTGTATTGTCACTTAACTCAGTAATGCTACAGTGATTGTCTTATCCCCAGCTACTGCTACTGTGAAAAATCGTTTTGCATATATTTAAGCTGTAATTGACTTGCCACAGACTGTACTTTTACATTCAGTCGACATTTAACTCCACTTAATTCTTTTCTCCTTTACACCCATGTGCCTTTATCTGCACATAACCACCCCACCCCACGAGTCTCATGGTGTGTACTACAGTCACAAAGGCTTATGCCATAATATAAATTTGTTAGTCTTTACGTTGCCACAAGACTCTTTGTTGCTTTTGCTTTCATCAAAAATGCAGCTGCTGACTTGACCTCCACCTTTAAAGCAGAGGCAGCTAACCATTTTTTGGCCCAAGAGCCAAACCCTCCAGGGGCCGCCTGACAGTGCTGGGTGTGCTGAAATGTGAGTGTGTCTCCCACTCTTACGCATGCACCACACATCAAGCGCACCAGCTTGCCCCCGCGACTGAGGGGGCCACACAACACAACCTGCGCACACGCCATGCAATGTGCTGACGTCACACACACATCCCACGTGACATGCTGACAGGTTGCGTGCACACCGCACGGCTTGTGCAAGTGACGCAAGGATGCCGCATGGAGTGCACAGTCGCTGCAGAATTTTGAAGGGGCCCCGCCCCCTCCTTGGAAAATGGGGGGGGGTTGGCCTCCCAGCCCCCGATGGCGCCCCTGCCACACAAGTACATGTACAGAACACACTGCTCTCCTCCTCAGCTATATGGGAAGATAAAGGACGCATTGCTCTCCTCTTGCTCACCCAATGATTGAGCTGATTCCTAGGGAGGTGGCATGTTGCATAGCCCCCGTCTCTCTCTGCCAACCCCAGCCCTGTGTCTACCTTCATGTTAATTTTCACTTGCACTACCCAGACTGGTGGGGTCTTTGGAGTAAAAATAAATAAATAGCTTGGGTGTCTAGATCAGCCCTCCAGCTCTGAGCTGGGGGTTAGATGCCCCGCTTTAAAATACTAAATGACTGTGTTCCAGATTATCTAAGGGAGTGCCCCCGCTCCCTCAGCAGCCGTCCTTCACAACAAAGGACTTAGGGAGAGTCCTCTCCTTGGCTGTGGTAAGTGTGATGAGGACTAATAGCACTCTCTCTCTTTCTAACTCTCTCCCTAGGCAAGCCTGCCTTGCCCTCGCCTGCTGGAAAGAATTTAAAACCTGCAGGCTTATGGAAGGTGAGGCAGCTGCCAACTTAAAAAGACCTTTAAGTTAATCTCCCTTCCTTTCCTCTGCCCCTTTCATTTTATTATTGTAGACATTTTTATCTTAATTAATTGTAACTTAAAAATTCATTATTGGTAGCTTTCTTGTATTTTCTTGTAACATTTCATAATTTTACAATAGGCCATCTTGGGGACCTTTATAAAGTCACATGGTTTGATGCAAGTGAAAATAAAAAATGAAACAAAATAATATAAACTTGGAGCAATCAAGCTTAATACAGCATATATATGCATAGCATGTAGAAACTACAACATTCCTGCCACTGCAATGTAGGCAATCAGGGGGAACGGGGTGAGGAGGGGGGGTGGTAAATGAACTATACAAACACAAACAACTTTTATGGATCATTTCTTTTGAAGCCAGACATACATTTTAATCAGATACTTTAATGATTATTCATGAATGAATTATTAATGAATGTTCCAAAAATATCATTCCATGGTACCATTCCCCCTCTTCCCCAGCCTAAAATAACACACACACAGAAAAATAATGGAAGGAGGAAAAGAAAGAACAGCCCCCCCCCCCCCCGATCTTCAACATGACGACACAGGCTCTGTTTGAACATCGCTACGGCCAAAGCTACAGCTTGTGGGTAGCAAGAAGAAAACATAACCAGAAGTTCAGGTTCAGAGGACACACTAAGCCAAAACTTGGCTCAATTCAGCATGGCACAGGAGTAGGAAATAGCGAGAGCAGCAACGCAGCTGCAAGCTCCTATCTCGCAGCCCACACGTTTGCACAATTCCCAGTAAACCATGGTTTGGCTTTCTGCGACATGCAAGCGAGGCCATTGTCATTTGTTCTTTCTTCATTAACTGAAACAGTCACACACACTGACCACAAACACACCCTTTGCCAACAGGTGATGCAAGGCAGAAGAACACAGTGGCAGAGAAGGAAGTCACAGAAGCTGTTTCTAAACATTTTCATGTATTCTTCCTGCTTTCCTAATTTTGCAGGAGCCCAGTTACCAAGCTACAGAAACAGGAAGGGCAGCTTATGCTATTCTTTTGTTTTGAAAATGAGAAATGTCGACAGTGAAACTTGCCTGGAAATCATGCTTTCTTCCCCTGAAAGATTTCCTTGCCAACCTCAAATGCAGGTAGGCAAGTTAGGGCTGCTCATCAGTGGTCAGAGAAAGGCCCTCTACCCATGTTCAAGTGTGCTTACCTTTTATTATGCAATTTACATTTTCTAAATGGAGCTATCCCAATGGAAACAGGTTGCCTTGCATATGCAGAGTTCTCCAAACATTTTATATTTTGTGAATATGAAGGGAGATGAAATCAGCACAATGGATATTTTTCTGCCTGTGAAGTATATTCCATGCACAAGACAAGGTTTCTTGCCAAAGGAATCCTAACTGCCACAATCCATCTCCATCATATCTCCTTGTTTTTCCAACAACAAAAATTTCAGCATGAATGAGTTACCTTTAAACAACCCTTCCCTTTTTTTATACTAACATGCCCGGGACAAATGCCCCTCAGCAATGGATTGTTTGACAGAGCTTCACACATGTCAGATTAGTTGAGAGATAACAACAGGGTATTAAGTGGAAAATGACAATCTCATCAACTGATTGTGAAATCAGCCTCCCTCCAGGGTTTCTTCCTAGATCTCACAGCCAGAGATCAGGCTAAGTGGATGGAAACTTGGCTGCAACATATTAGCCGGTCCAGAACGCCCGCTGCCGCGCCACAAAACCACCAAAGCTCCTACTAAGGCATTAAAGTCTGAGCAAAAGGAGTCGCTGGGTCTTGGACGGGGTGGGGGGGTGTGGGTGGGTGGGGGGGTTGTCAGTAAAGGTAAGTGCTTCTAAAGCATTTGCTTTTTTGTTATTTGAATTGGCTTGACTAACACATCCCCTTCAGAAGCCGAGACTATGTTAATTTGCTAAATGATCAAACAGTCCTAAACTAAACAAGTGCTGAACACTCAGTAAAAGGGTGCGAGTTCAGAAGAATTTGAAATGAGCCGTTAGTCTTCAAAGAAGTGGGTCAACCTTTGAATTCTGTTGTTCTCTTTTCTTTAAATAGCAGATGTTTTCCATATATATCAAAACGTTATACGGCACAATGCTAATCTGTATGAATGACCCTGAACTCCTGTTAATTTAACAAAGGCCTAGAAAATTGTTTAATTAACATGTTTAATTAACCTTGTTTCAAGAATTTCTGTACACTAAGACACCAGCTAACTTTCAAATGGCTGGGCACTCAGGCTAAAAAGCCATCTCAAGAAAGCTAGAGAGTTCCAGAAAAACATCTACCGTACTTCTGCTTCATTGACTATGCAAAAGCCTTTGACTGTGTCGACCACAGCAAACTATGGCAAGTTCTTAAAGAAATGGGAGTGCCTGATCATCTCATCTGTCTCCTGAGAAATCTCTATGTGGGACAAGAAGCTACAGTTAGAACTGGATATGGAACAACTGATTGGTTCAAAATTGGGAAAGGAGTACGACAAGGCTGTATATTATTGTCTCCCTGCTTATTTAACTTATATGCAGAATTCATCATGCGAAAGGCTGGGCTGGATGAATCCCAAGCCAGAATTAAGATCGCTGGAAGAAATATCAACAACCTCAGATATGCAGATGATACAACCTTGATGGCAGAAAGTGAGGAGGAATTAAAGAACCTTTTAATGAGGGTGAAAGAGGAAAGCGCAAAATGTGGTCTGAAGCTCAACATCAAAAAAACGAAGATCATGGCCACTGGGCCCATCACCTCCTGGCAAATAGAAGGGGAAGAAATGGAGGCAGCGAGAGATTTTACTTTCTTGGGCTCCATGATCACTGCAAATGGTGACAGCAGTCACGAAATTAAAAGACGCCTGCTTCTTGGGAGAAAAGCAATGACAAACCTAGACAGCATCTTAAAAAACAGAGACATCACCTTGCCAACAAAGGTCCGTATAGTTAAAGCTATGGTTTTCCCAGTAGTGATGTATGGAAGTGAGAGCTGGACCATAAAGAAGGCTGATCGCCGAAGAATTGATGCTTTTAAATTATGGCGCTTGAGGAGAATCTTGAGAGTCCCATGGACTGCAAGAACATTAAACCTATCCATTCTGAAGGAAATCAGCCCTGAGTGCTCACTGGAAGGACAGATCCTGAAGCTGAGGCTCCAAGACTTTGGCCACCTGATGAGAAGAGAAGACTCCCTGGAAAAGACCCTGATGTTGGGAAAGATGGAGGGCACAAGGAGAAGGGGACGATGGAGGGCGAGATGGTTGGACAGTGTTCTCCAAGCTACAAACATGAGTTTGACCAAACTGCGGGAGGCAGTGGAAGACAGGAGTGCCTGGCGTGCTCTGGTCCAGGGGGTCACAAAGAGTCGGACACGACTAAACGACTAAACAACAACATGCTTCAAACTCACCGAACTTTAACTGTGCTCAAGAAGTGCAAAAGGAAAACTCCATTTTAACTCCCCCAGAACTTCTGCTGCTTGTTCTGAAGTGCTATTTACAATTTTTGTATGTATGATGCTGTATTAAGTTTCAGCACTGTAAAGGCCTCCTTAGATATCTCAGCCCAGCTTGGGTCTTCACTATTTCAACACACTAATTTTCATTTTCATTCTGATTCTCTCTCTCTCTCTCTCTCTCTCTCTCTCTCTCTCTCACACACACACACACACACACACAGAGGCACTCACTGAAAAAGGCGGGGCATAGAGGAA